CACATTTTCCTCTCTGGCCACCCCTCTCCCAAGTTTTCTTTTCTCTATGAAGAGAAAAAAAATTATTTTATTGTTATACAATCCTCCCCCATCCCCACTCCACTTTACTATGCAGCTCTTATTCTAGAATCTTATTATGACAATAATATCTAATCATATATTCCTTTTAAATAGTTCTCTCCCTCATCTGTTTCAATACAGTATAAATTATTTATCCCTTCTTTTCTTAGGTTTCCCCAACCCCAATGTCAGTAACATTTTACAACAGCGTCACTATGCAGGATTTTTCTTTTTGTGACTGAGATATTTCACTCAGTATAGTGTCCTCCAAAGTTTCAAATTTTGTATAGTATTTCATGAGTTCCTTGTTTTTCAATGCTGCTTGGTATTCCATTGTGTGAATATACCACAGCTTCTCTATCCATTCATTTGTTGGTGGAAACTTGGGTGGTTTACAAATCCTTGCTATTGTGAACAAAGCCACAATAAACATGGCTGTACATATATCTTCTTGGGTGGCAGTTATGGTCTCTTTAGGGTATATTCCCAGTAGAGGAATTGCTGGATCAAGTGGTATTCCAATTTACAACTTTTTGAGAAAATGCCATATTGCCTTCCATAGTGGTTGCACCATTTTATATTCTTTCCAACAGTGAATAAGGGTTCCAGTTTCTCTGCAACTTTGCCAGCATTTGTTGTTTGTTACTCTGTTGAATTTTGCTATTCTTACTGGGGTGAGATGATATCCCATAGTTGTTTTGCTTTGCATCTCTCTTAGAGCTAGGGATTTTGAGCACTTCTTCATGTGTTTGTTTGCCATCTGAAAGGGTTTTTTGTGATGTATCTGTTCACATCCTGTGCCCATTTTTTAATCAGGTTGTTTACCATTATCTTGTTGTGGTGCTTGAGTATTCTATAAATTCTAGATATAAGTCCCTTATCAGAGATGTCATTACTGAATATTTTTTTTCTCCTGTCTGTGACTTCCCTTTTCACCCTGTTGGAGAAGTATTTGAATATGGTATAGGGATTTTCATCATAGAAGGTCCCATTCATCTATTTTACCCTTGACTAGTTGTAGGTTTTCCAGTATGCTTAGAAGACTGTTTATGTTGTGGATTAGAGCTTCTAGAGTTCTTCCAAGCTTTTCTATAATAAAATTTATAGTCTTTGGTTTTAGTCCCAGGTCTCTGATCCACTTTGAGTTGGTTTTTGTGTATGGAATGGGTTGTGGGTCTTGCTTGAGTTTTCTATAGATAGTTTTCCAATTTGCTAACACCCTTTGTTAAAAAAATGGCTGTCATTTCTCTACTTAACTGATTTAATCTCCTTGTCAAAAATCAGTTAATCATAGGTAGATGGGCTGATTTCTGGGTTCTCAATTCTATTCCATTGATCTATGTGCCTGTCATTTTACCAGCACCACTCTGTCTTGACCACCACAGCAATGTAGTAGGGTTTGAAATCAGGAAGTGAAATTTCTCCTACTTTGTTTCTCTTTTTAAGGAGTGTTTTATTTATTCGGGGCCTCTTTGCTTCTCAGGACTCTGGAGGAGTCCCTGACAGCAGATTTTCCTAATGCAATTTGTCTTTTGATTTCCTGACTGCTGGTGCCAAAAGTGTTGATCGTGGAGCCAAGCAGACTGTAACTGTTAACAACCTCAATCTTTTCTCCATCCATCATGGCTGCCAATTGGCCTAGGAGTAAGAATCTTTATCTTCTTGATGTTGAGATTCAATCATATTAGAGACCACAGTCCTTTAACACTCTCTTGGGTCTCTATTTTTGGAATGAGAATAATTATGGATCTCCTCCAGTTAATTGGCCAGATAGTTTTTCTCCAGATTTCTTGACACAATTGTTAGATACATCCAGGGCTACATCTGTTTATTGAAATATATCAATTGGTATGCCATCAATTCCTGGGGCTTTGTTTTTGCCAATTTCTTCAGAGCAGCTTAGACATCCTCCTTCATCACTATTGTTTAATGAAATTCTTCTCTGTCAGCCAATTCTTTTTGGTATAGTGACTCTGTGTACTTCTTACATCTTCTTTTGATGCTTCCTGGATCATTCAATATTCTGCATGCAGCATACTGGAGTATTGTACCTTGAGGTCAATATTAACTTCTAATTTCCACAGAGTTATCCTAATGTCATATTTTCCTTGCTGCAACAAAGTATCCAAATTCTGATAATTCTAAGGACAGTATTTATGTATCCTCTGGAGTATTTACTTTCCTGCATCATTTTATCTTGTCCTTCACTTCTACTACCCTTCCTAATTTAATTGTTATAGCTATATGCCTTCGATTTAGCTACAATTCACAGTAACCCTATGTGTAGTTAACTGAGTGATACACTGACCAATCCTGTGCCAACCTTCTGCTTTAACAGAAATGTAAAATAAAGCTTTTTATCTTTATGCAATTTGCCCAAATCAAAGGAAAGAGATTCAAGCTCACCAGCCTCTCCACAGGAGAAAATGTGCAACCTCCCCTCACGTGATTTAAAGCCTCTGGAAACCCACCTAAGAGTTAGTTCTGACTTTGTGGCAAGTATCAACAACATAAGGCTCTTACATGCCAACTCCAAGAAAAGTTTCCACATTTAATCTGTATCCTTTTCTAATTCTGTGTGTATTTCTTTCTTGTTTTAAGTGTCAACTACAGTGAACAAAGTTAAATACCATACAGGGGTCCTTTACCCCTTTTCCATCTTCTTTCTTTTTTACTTTAATTCTTTCATGTGGCCCACCTTTCACTAGCTATGCCTCTGTTTTATTACCTTTACAAGTCTTTCTCACTTGTTTTGCTAAAAAAAAGACAAAAAACAAACAACAGTAACACCACCAAATAAATTCTATGAAATAAACACCTAATCTCTTACTAGGGAGCCTAGTGGTAAGAGGTTGTGCTGCCAGTCCTCAGGCAAACAGTTCAAATCTAAGCTGCTTTTTCATGGGAGAAAAATGTGGACAAATGAAATGTAGAAACTTAGAGGAGCTGACATTTAAGTGTGCTGTTGAGTCAGAATGGATTCATACCTGACCTTCTGGTGGTTTTTCAGAGCTTGTAAATGCATGGGTTGGAAGCAGGAGTAGCATTCACTTCCTAAACAGCATCTGGACACTATGAACTTTGATAAATGATGATAGTTATAGAAAGGCTTCAGGCCTTTTGTTCATAGGGTAACTATGAGTCATGCTCGACTTGAAGGCAATCAACAACAACAACAACTGCATAGGAGGAGATTGCCCATCTTTCTTGAGTGGCATAGCTAGAGGATTCCAATCATTTGCCTTTGGGTGGAAGCACAACCTCTTACTCATAAGCCAGCCAGAGCCCTCTCAGTCCTGTAATAAAGCAGGATATTGTCCTTAGGAGGAGGCTGGGGCACTTTACCCCAAAGAAGTTAGGGAAAGAAAAGTTCAAAGTTAAAGAACAGATTGTTGTTGCACTTAGCTTTTGATGATTTTTGATTTGCAGATCACCTTAAGAGCTAATGGAGTAAAACAAAAACAAACAACAGAATCAGACATTTCTTCATTATGTTTCATCAGAATCACCCAACTTTCCTGACTCATTTTGGGCTCCCATCGCTGGCACTAGGTCATTTAAAATGACGTCTAATTGAACATTAGTTTAGTCAATAGAAATGGTTTTGTGATGTGTGTTACATCATCATCTAAGAAGCTAGCTTGTTCACGTGTCAAAGCCCAATGTGAAAATGCATTATAAGCACAACTTTATGTATTTTTTTTTTGCTAAAGTCATTTTAGTCCAAAGCTGTTACAGGTCAAACTTTAGAGTCAAAACGTGAAGACCTGTCTTGATGTCTCTTATAGAAAATGATGTGATGACATCAATTCATATTGGAGAGGATGAGGTGAGAGAGGCACTCTTACATACTGTTGGTGGGATTCTAAAATGGTACCACCACTCTTGAAGGCAGTTTTATATTTCCTCAAAAAGCTGAACATAGAAATTCCATACAACTGCTAGGAATATATCCCAAAGAAATTAGAACAGAGACAGAAATGGAGATTTGTACATTAACTATTCATAGCGGCTTATTCACAATTGCAAGAACATGGAAACAGTCCAAATGTCCAAACACAATTGAATGAATTGAGAAATTTTGGTACATTGACATTATAGAAAACTATGCACTCAGGAGCATCAATTTCAAGAGATACTACATAACTTGGGAGAGACTGAAGAGCATAATACTGGGTAAACTAACTCAGGTTCTTAAGGATAAATATTGCATATGACTATTATTGTGAAAATATAAAGATCACTAGTAAAGATGTTCGGGGGTCTGGGGGAAAAGGGTGGGAACAGAGGAGTCAGGGTGAGCTGAGAAGAAAATCACAGAGTCATACAATTTGGCAAGTGGAGGGAGGTAGTATGAGAAATGAGAGAGGTCTAATGGAGCCCTGAAAAGGTGGGCTAATGGTGGACATAGTTCAATAGTGATTAATTTTATAAAACACAATATATGGGAATGAGTGTATGAAACATAACATGAATGAAGGAATGTATGAAGCACAATGTATATAAATTTTGTATGCAAAACAATAAAAAAATGAAAAAAAAGGATGATGACAGGGGAAAACAGAGCTCTGTTGCCTTATAGATCTGAGTTTTCATTGACAACCTAAAGACACATATGATTTACACATAATTTACCGTCTCTGAGAACCTAGTGGAGGGTCAGCTATGAGTTGGTTCCGACTAAATGTCACATAACCATAAGGGTGAATTGGGGAATAATGTGTGCTCATTTTTCAGAATGTAAGAGATGTAAATGCCATATTTTATCATAAATTGCCATAATAATTCCAAAACACCTCTTGCCAAAGTCACTGATGATCTCCACATCACTAATTCTTCAAAGGAAATGGTATACACCCACTAAAGATAGATGGTGGTTTAACCACTGAGATGTCAATAGACCTAATATGAAGTTTCTGTCCTCTGTTTGGCTGTTCTAGGTCTTCTGTGATTTCCATGGTCACTCTCAAAAGAAGAATGTATTCCTTTATGGTTGTAGCATTAAAGAAACCTTGTGGCAAAGTGCAAGTCCTGTGAGTTCATCTACTGTCTTAGAGGATGTCAGTTACAGGGTAAGTCTTTGGGGGAATGACACCGAACAGTGTTTCATTTTCTTATTTTTACCATTGAGACCTATGCTTCATGAAAGGGTAATTTTTTCCTTCTAAATAATTGTTTTATTGTTTTTTCCACTACACTGTAGAGATACAGGTTTCTTTGAAATGAGAGAAATAGGGCTATTCCTAGAAAATGCAGCTGGAGGAGGCGTGTATTACCTCTGCTTTCATTGAGTAATGGTGTGCTGCTTGGTTTCCCTGCATTTGTTTTCTGTAGGTTGTAATGCACTGCAAAGAATATGAGTATTGGCTTTACAAATATTAACTGTGTGACTATGAGTTAATAACATCACCTCTTTGAACCACCACCATTCTACCATAAAGAAAATGAGGAAAGTGAAAGTAGTGCCTCTGCTAAAAATTTATGGCAGGAACAACATGATACTTAATATAAAAAGATATTAAATGAATATGAAGGGACGGCACTAGACCATCCACCTCCCTTTCCTCAAGCATTTTATAAGAATCAGAGCAGTGATCCGCTTAGCCTAACGCTGCTGTTTCCAAATTAAAAAAAAAACAAACAAAAAACAAACAACAACAACAATAACCAACCCCACAACATTTTCTCACAGATCTGGAGGCTAGAAATCCAAATTCAGGATGTCTCTTCCCCCCACCCCCGTTTTTTGTAGTTTAAGGGTTTATTTAATGTTCAAAATGGCTTTTCTAGCCATTGATTTTGATGTTGCCGTGTGGGTGAGTGGGAATATGTGAATAGAATGTGTTAGTCTAAGCACAAGGGAATTGGCTAGTCTCATCACTAAACTAAGCAGATTCAGTGGTAGATTTTTTTTTTTATTGCTTTGCTTACAAAGTTCATATGCATTGTATTTCACTCTATTCTTCATTCACATTGTGTTTCATACAATCGTTCTCATGCCTTATGTTTTAGAAGATTAATCACCAATAGACCTTGCCCATCATTACCCTGCCAGTGGTAGATTTTGAGAATCTCACCACCAGCTTTAGAGAGAGGTTTTCTCTCTATCTCTGCTGTAGGCTCTGGACCCAAAAGTTCGTCTCTCTGCAGTGTGTATGTATGTGCCTGGATAATCTTCATGTGAGTTGACACCTCTTTCCATTCATCTCTGGTTCTCTGTTTAATCTCTTTTACATCTCAAAAGAGAATGACTCAGCATACACCCCATATTAATCCTGTTTCATTAGCATAACAAAGACAAACACATTCCCAAATAAGAGGATAACCACAGGCAGCAAGTTTATGAACTGCAATGAGTTCTACAGGTTTGCACCAAACAGGAAGTTAAAGAGGGGTATAGAAAGACAACTTCTTCCTGTCAGAATAAAGAAAAAAGCAAATATTGCTTACTGATAATTAGGTAGAAGTAGCAGGAAGCTCTGGTGGCTTAGTGGTAAGGAATTGTGCTGTCAACCCAATAGTAAGTAGTTTGAAACTATCAGTTGCTCCATAGGAGAAAGATGGGCGATTTCCTCCAGCTCCATACACTGCCTCGGAAAGGCCAGTGAAAGCCAACTATGTGTTGGTGCTGACTGAAGGCACTCAGCAGTAACCACACAAGGAGAGGTAACATTGTTTAAATCTAAAATGAAAACTCTGTTTCAAGTAAACAACGAAAAAATTAAAAGTAATAATAATTATGCCTAAACAACAACAAAAAACCCAGTTGTCGTAGAAACATTTTCAACTTTTCACAGTCCCATGTGTTATGAAGAAGAAATACGCTATGTAAAATGTTTAAGGTTGTGACTTGTTCAAGCAAATCACCAGAATTATCTCTCAAGGTTCTTCTGAGTGTGTCCAACAACCAAGGTTTTTTCTAGTAATCAAGATCTTACCAATGAAGCCTATGATAATGTCTACTTTTTCTTTTTAGATGTAATTAAATATTCTTTTTATGTTGTTAACTAAACAAAACAATTTATATTCACTACTTATGGAATCCATAGTAATATATGCATATGATTGATTGATGATTCTTTCTCTTTCCATTTACTAATTCTTTGTCTCCAACACATAGTCACTTTATGTACAAAAGAACAAACCCTGGTTGATCTTGAACCGTCCTCTCAATCCGTGTTGTGAGTAGGTCTATTATTATGCTCACTGTACTACACTATTTAGTTAAGGGTCTTCTTTCAGCTGACTCTCTACCTTTATTGAGAAAAGACTATGGCATGAGGATTTCTACTTCTTTTAAATCCTATATTCTCCTAGAATTTACTACTCTGACAATTTAGTACTCAGAACACAGCTTCATCCTCAGAGTTAAATGATGAAACCAGAAGAGGGTAAAATCCCCCACGTTGCTGTTTTAATTGGACATAGCTCCTCTGGATGCTACCCGCCCCCCACCCCCTTCACCTTTGAAAAATTCGTATACATCGGAAACAAAGTGGCTGCTGACTGGTCCAGTCATATCACGGCTATTATAGCAGAATCAACAGCTTATCCTCTATGACCTGTTTGCTCAGAGGCTCAACCAGAGTAACAGTGATAAACCACAAGAAGCTTAACTGCTTAATCTTACTTAGGAAACTAATGTATGAAAGCAAAACATTCTTCTGGAAAAATTCTATTGACCTGCATAAACTTCTCTCTTATGCATGGTAAATCTCACACTAAACCACCTACCTTATCTCATAATACAACGTCACCATGACTTTGACCTCTCTTTTTACCACACAGTGTAACCAAGTCCATGGATAATTCCCCATACACAGGTAAAAATAATGAGAAACAGACCTTTAGAAATTCCCTGAACACAGCTGGTAGGCAATGGGGAGAGGGGACAGATGGCCTCAGGAATTATACAGTGGGTGCTCAGTCTTTTTTTGTTTCAGTTTTAATGTATGGCTCATTTAAGAGAGAAACTTTAAAAGTTGATCTTCAGATTGCTGTCAGGTAAACTAACAAGGAGTTGCATCAGATAGAGTAAATGAGCATAATTTTTAACAGTCTCTGAGTAGTACAAAGAAAATGATTTTCTGTTAAACAAAAGCTTGGGGATTTAAGTCCACTGAGGTACCTTGGAAGAAAGGCCTGGCAATCTATTTATATATATAGATATCTATATAGATATCGATATCAATATCAAGATAGAGATAGAGATCTATCTATTTATCTATCTCGACCACTGAAAACTCTAAGAAACACAGTTCCAGTCAGACATTGGGTTAGAGTTGACTTAATGGCAACTAGTCTTGCTATTTTTATTTAAAAGCAAAGCTGTGGAAAATATTAGTCCATTTACACACTGATATTCATCTATATAGTTTTTTAACTGTAGGAAGTTACTTGCCTGAGCTTCAAGTGTTAGGTTCCTCTGATTTGACTCTAGCTCTCAGTGGTTCTGTGGACAACAGAAAGCTGCCTGCCCCTGTGCTCACAATCTCCACTGCTCGTTGTGGTAACCATGGTGTTAAACCATCATGTTGAGAGCGTTCTGCTTCACTATCTCTCTAGTTTATTTGTAAAATTGAAAGTGTTCATTTTCTCAAGAGCTTATTCAATTCTCTTGGCTAATTTAGGGCTCCTTAGTGGCAACTCAGACTTAAATGACATACTTAAAAATAGTAAGTAGGCAAGATGTTCTGTTCTTGACTTCCAACCCAGTCATCCTGACTCTTGAATTACTTTTTGTGATTCTGCATAATATGCAATTCTTTTTATATGTGATACTTGAACATTCACATTCGGAGCTCTGGTGGCCTAGTGGCCAGAAGCTATGCTGCACTCCTAAAGGCATGCTGTTGGAGTCCACCAGCTGCTCTGTGGGAGAAGGATGGACAGTCTCTTCCTGTGGGATTAAAAGCCTCTAAAAACCCACCAGAGGGTTCAGCTATGGGTCGATTCCTACTCTATGGTACACAACAACAACAACTTTAACATTTAACCTGGAAATATTGATCTTAACCTTATAGTCTGACCTAAAACAATTTTGATGTATGATAACCCATCTTTCTAGACTTGGAAAGGACACTTATTTTACAGATGGGGAAATGGAGGATACAGAGAGTGAGTGCGCACAAGTCAGATTTGTGTTATAGTTAGGATATCTGCTGAGCATCAGTATTCTGAGAGAGTAGCCTACAAACAACACTAAATTGGAGCATTCTGAATCTGATCATCTTTTCATAGATTTTTTTTTTGTCCTTTAACATTTGTATTGAAGAGACAATTATATATGCTGTTATGTTTCACATTCATTTCACAGCATTTATTCAATTTAATTAAATCAACACTTAATGGCACTACTTCCAGTTATGGAGGTATAAAGAGATCTGTAAATCCTCTCTGTAAAACATAAACGTAAAATGGGAAAAAAATGAAAAAGGCAAACATTTTAGGACTCTTTTAAATTGACCAAAGGCTGGAGACAAAATGAGAAATGAAGTACTTCTTTTTTATTATCATTATGTTAAATATATATGTTACAAAACAGTTGTGATGTTAATAATCCTCTCATTTACAGTTCAGTGGCTTTATGTTTAACATGTTGTTATTTCAAGAGTGTACGAGGGTAACACTTAAGAAGCTTTAATTTAGGAAATTGTTACAGCCTTGGGTAAGAAGATAACAAGTGCAATTTTCTGTGCTGGGACTCCATCACGATTTTCCCTCTCTGTGGTCATTGCTGTATACACATACAAGAGACCTAGATGAGAGAGAGTCACAGGGTGGCTTATCACAGGAGAAGCTCTCCACATACTAAGGGCTTATGAGAAACTATGTGTCTCTGCAGAGAAGTCACAGAAAGTCTCACAAAATGTAAAAGCCATAACTGACCATAACTCCTAAAGTGTATAGCAATGTAGTTAAAAACCAGCAACATGTAATGAAGCCTTATGACCTTGACATGTTTGAGCATCACTTCCATCCTAATCATTGACTAGCCACTGAACTAAATGGACATTGATGCAGACCCTATAGATCCATCTCTGACATGCATGAGCCCCTTGTTGCAGTCACT